TATCTTTTTTTCTATCCATTGGATCAAGCTCATATTTGGTATGTATATACTTCTTAGCCTCGCACACCTATAAAAATTATTCAAAATGTAATCTGACCAAAAGAAATTTACCAAAATACCCTTAAATAATGTAGGGCTATTTCGGTCATTTATAATTTTTAAATTATTTTTTAATATTTTATAGGTGTGAGATGGTGGAAAGTATGGACATATGAAATTTGAGTTAAATCTGATGTATAGATAAAATTAAAATACACTTTTTGCTCTTCAAAAGTGGGACTTCAATGCAAGATATGAAATATATAGGAATATTTCTAAATTCCAAAAATAAAACAGGATATTTCTATACAGTTTCATTTAAACAAAAATACTAATTGTAGATTGTTGTTAAATTCAAATTTTAATTATCATTATATCATGAACCAAAACTAAGTATTAAAAATAAAACACCAACATTTTATAATTCAATAAAGGTGATATTATAAAGGCAAATGGTAAATCACGATTCACATTTTAACAATTTATTGATGAGAGCACTTGTTGCACTCACTTTTTTTTATTAGTGCTCTTGATTTTAGGAACACTGGCAACAATAATGACTCAGCTACTAATTTGATCTCCTAAAGTCCTGGGTAGATAATTAAAAATATGAGTGACCCTATGTATCCTCTTTATGAATAAAACCAATTACAATTTAAAATTTAGTTTATCTATTAATTATCAATGAAGTCCTTAACCAAGCCATAAGGTGTCAAAAGGGTAGTAAATTCTAATGGACACCAACGGATTAGTAGCAGGGAACAATCAAATGACAATAACACAACATGGTTGTTTAGGGTTAGCGACAAACAGTTTAATTTTTTTCATCGTAAATCCTTCATCCATTTCCCAAACTTGAACAACTAATGGTATTATAGCCTTTTGCTCAGGAGGCCAATTTACCAAAATGACCTTCATTGTTCTAGATTACCAACCCTAAATAGGGGTAAATAGTGAAATTAGTGAAACATTCTATTAAAAATACCTTTTTAGTTATCTTAAATTGGATCCTGAAATTTGAGACCAAGAAAATACTCCGAAAGAAGACTTATATCTGAGGGGGTAATTGCACAATGTGATCCTGCAACAGCACGGTATACTATTTTTTGCCCCTTATCTAATATTGTATGATATATTAGTGCATATACTATTCTCCCACAGGAGAATAAAGTCTACTTGCTCCCTTGGGTGAAAAAGCTACTTAGGAAGATATTTTGGATCTAAAATTCAGATTCCTAAAGAATCACCAGATGATTATTTTAATATGTTAAAAAGAAAAAGTTGGATTTTGTGTCCTTTAACACTTAAACTATGTTGTCCAACAATTGAATAGTCTACATTCAATTTTAGGATGTTATTTCTTTCAAGTTGATAACGAGTGTGTTTGAATTTTATTTTTTATATTTTTTTATTGGAAAGTTGGTCACTAGGTTGTAGGTCCCCAAATTAGGATCCTAAAAATAGCATTGCTTGGTTTTCGCCTGAAATGGATAGTCAGCTCTTATGCATGAACTCATTTGCGATTATATATAAGGGGCTCTCTTTCCTTAAATTTGTTCTCTTTGTTATGGTTATCGTGCAAATTTTTTGGATATTTTATTACAATTTATAAAAGCCTTATTTATTTATCAATTAGCTTTTTCCTCTTCTTAAATATGATATAATATATAACTGAACCTATTAGCGAAACACCTACTAACTTGACGTGAGTTTCCGAAAGTAACTCACGCTTTATATGTAATATAGATAGACAGTTTCTTTGAGAAAATTTTTAAAGATACTGAAAGCAAATCCAAGAGCAACTATGATAGTTTGAGTTACGGAGAAGAGAATCTTGAATTCTGACGCTAGAAGTGCCAACTCCTTTTTTGTGTAGAAAGTTCCTTTCAGCCAATTATGACAAGTAGATGACTTTCTCAATGATATCTTTGAATCACTGTTAGCAATGTTAAAAAATGCGGAGGCAGGAGCCTAAGCAGCGGTCCGGAGAACACCTTCACGGAAGTGGAGGCAGGCAACTGTTACACCTTGATGTTATTTCAAGGTGTAACAGTCTATTTATTTCAGGAAAGAGACTTTTTTTTTGCACTATAATCTATTTGTTACAAACAATAATATCTGAATAACTTTAAGGGAAAGTATATAATGAAACTATATACCTTTGGTACAAGGTGGTCACATTAATCTTGACCATTGGATAATTGGGGTGGCTACAATTATTCTATTGACCAAGCTCAAACTTCAAAAGAAATTTTCTCGAAATTTGTGACACATCCATACTATCAAACTTCACATCGGATGGTTGTAAGTAATTGTGACCACCTTGCATCAAAGGTAAATAGTCTCATTATATACAATCCCTAACTTTAAATAATACATGAAGAAATATACACGATATCTTCTTACATTTTCAAACAAATTCTTTGTTGCGCAATATGAAACCATATATTTCACAGATCCATAGTCAAATTTCTTAAAAAATTTGTGGGGTTTAGCTAAATTTCTTAATTTTCTTTAAATAAATATCCCAAGTCCCATCTAACCAAAACATGCAACTAACCCTAATTTGTGAGGGTCCCTGGCACATTTAGAACCACATATCATCGAGACTAGTCTTTTTTATTATCAACGATCAGTTCAAAATCACATTTAAGAATAAAAGAAGCCAGCTTTCTGAAATAATCAATGGAAAAGACAATGCAATTCCTCAAATTAACCACGAATTGCTCAGAAACAACCATTAGTTACCATTAGAGCATCCAAAAATCAGTGATATAATCCCAAAACCCGTAAGCCATTTAATAACTTTATTAAGGGTTTACGCTTTTTTAGGGGTTTGGGGGCTAGATTGCCTCCCCACCCCTTTTCCCCCATTTTTAGGGGGGATGAAATGTTTTTTTGCCCTTGGCTACACTGTTCCAAGCGGCTGCCTAGGCACCCACCTTAAGGCGACTGCGTAAGCAGCACCTTGGGTGCCTAAGAGCAAGGATGCTAGGGCCCCGTGAGCGCCCAAATTTTCAACAATGACTATTAGGGCTAACAATGCTGAAAGAGTCTCCCTCAAAAGTCAAGTCGCCCAAGAAAAACAAACAAGAAAAATACAAGACCAGTTATAAGAGCAGAGCTTCAGTGAGCAGGAATATCTAATCCCTATGGGATCATGAAAAGCCTTAGAAACGAATCCTAATTGACCTCAAAAAATAACCCCAAGTAACAGATGCACTTAGTTTTCTAGAGAGCAACCATCAAAGTTGAGTTTAGGGTGCACAGGGATAAGAATCCACCGACTATGTGGTTGACCAATATGGTTCCTCCGATAGCATCACTAACTGTCAATGGCGTATTAGATTCAGAGCTAATCAACAAGGAACAGGAATAGGAGCTCTGGATCAAAATCAGTTATACTTGTAGAGGATTTTTTTTTCTAGACACCCATGTATTCAGATTGCAGGACTCATCCCTTCAGAATTTAGTAGAGATGTAGGGAAGTGAAAAAGAAGAATGATTGGAGGAAGGTAGTGAGGTACAATGAATGATTTATCTTCTCTCAAGTTTCTGGAAGGTCTAGGGACAAGAAAACAATTTGGCATTTAGCTAAAGTTGAAAATGAGCATGGCAGATAACTGCCAACGTGTTGTTGCAATGGGAAAAGGATCCTAAAAATGCAATCATCCCAAAGTTGTTTGTGGCCATAGAGATGACAGATTCAATGGAAAGTTATTTAAAATGTTACGAATACTGTATCCTGCTCTAACCTATAGTTTGTATTTAATATAGGAAAGATCAACTTCGAAAGACTAGGCAGAAGGAATGCATAACTTAGACTTCAACCAGGGCTACTCACTCTAATCCGGACATCCTACAAGGTCCAAGTGAAAAAGCTTTGGAACTAGTGGAGTCTCACAGGTTCCCAAGATTTCTAAGTTAATTTAGTTGAAACTCAGCCGAGTGCGAATCAGTGACTTGGCCAAGTCACCCTTTGACTCGGCCTTGGACCCTGCCTGGTCCCGGGCCCAAGTCCAAGTCCAAGTCCTAAAACATTGAGCAAAAGCTTCAAAGTAAAATACCATAAAGGACAAATGAACATATATCATCAATATTAATATTATGAATACATGATAACAATAATAATTCTGATATAACATGCAGTCAAAAGGAGGAAAGAACCATATGTCTTTCCCTCCTAATTATACGGGAGGAGGGGTGGCGGGAGCCTTGGGCAACATAATCCAACTGTCAAATCGAAAAGGTAATATGAGAAGGGACTAAGAGCACAAAGCAGCATCTCAAGAACTTTTCAATAATGAGTACCTTGGCAACAGAAAGAATAACAAATGAGACGGTGAACACCAAAGATATCATTATGTAATAACAACATTATTCCTTTTTGCATATATGTCGACATCAGCAATGATACATAGGTAATAATAATAACATTAACTTAAAGACACTGTTGACTTCAACAACATCGTTACTCCTCAAACTCAATTTGATGCTGGGTAATGACCATGCAGGGAAGAGTTAATGACCATACAGGGAAGAGTAATCAAGAAGTCCTCACTTGAACATAACAATCAAATGCCCAGAGTACCCAATCCACAAACCTAGAGTATTGAGAGGAACAGATGTAGTCAAGCTAACAGATTATCAAGGAGTGACATACAAGTTTGCCACTCTACTACATGAATTAGATGTTAGAACTTTAGCTGCTCAAATACTCCTCCAATTCAGAGTGTGAATAATGTTTTTCTGTACTTTGTTCAAAAGTATACCATGTTTCTAAATTTTGTGCATGCACTGCTAATAAAAAAAATGTTTATGAGTCAATGTATTCAATGATAAGGAAATCCAGTTCTTAATCACATTCAACTTTTCCTCCGAATTTTCTTTTTAGAAAGCATAAAATGTATCTAGATTGCTGATAGACAATGAATAATTGTTAAAATAGCTTATAAACTTACCTCGTTTCGCAAAATTCTTAGAGATTCCCCTACAAAATGTAGTTTGTCCAACTCAATAGGATGTAGTGCCTTTAATCCCTCCTCGGAACGTATTGGGGAAGTAATAATTGGTCCCTTTACTTCCTCTATGTCAAATGGGACCCCAAATGCAGGTAAGGGAGTTAGTATGTCTGAGAATATTATAACACCATCGGGACGAAAGGCCCTCCATGGCTGCAGCGAAATTTCCACAATGAGATTGACTGTCTCAGATCGCACTCTAAAGGATGGGTATTTCTCTGCAAGCTTTCTGTAAACAGCCATGTATCTTCCAGCTTGACGCATCATCCATGCTGGCGGCCGGCTGATAGGATCACCTCTTGCAGCCTGAACAATTAGAGGATCTGAAAATCACATCACAAAATCCATGTATAAAAACAATAATGCCTATCTCGCCTAAAACAATATAAACAAGAAAAGCAATTCCATCAAATTATCAAAATTACTGAGCATGTACAAGGTCCTGGGATAAAATGTTATTGTTTTGTGCTGATCTCACATGAGTTTTTGTACAAATCTGGCTTTGGCAACAGGATATCTTCGCTATAATGTAGAACTCTTTTTTTCGACTACACATACAATGTTTGTTGCCTCTTTGTATGTGTGTGTACATTTCAAGATTAGGTGAACCATCTGGCCTTCGAAACAATTGTGAGCAGGACAAACCAGATTGAACCATCCGAATGTCAGCAATTGTGGGGGGATTTTGTCACTTTTTTAGTGTATTATTTTTTATATATTTATGGAGCACCTGGGTTAAGTGCACCACTCCCCAAAATTTCAGGTAAAAAATGACTCATAAAAAAATTAAATGAGAGAGAGTGCATACACGATGACGTCCAGATTTTTAAGGCGGAATCTAAGCCATCCAACTTATACTCTTCCGGCCTATACTATTCCACAGGTCAGCCTGCTTACAATACATGTGTGTGAGTGCCTGTGTGTGGTTATATACAATAAGCCCAACTCCTTTAGTATTGGTGTTAGAAAACACAGGTGAGTCCATTTGGACTTGTCTGAGTAGCTCAGGCTTGGCACCCCACCGAGCCCAACGCCCAACATGGGTGTAGTATATATGCTATAGTACTTGGGCAAATTGCTGGATCAAATTGCCCAAGTTCTGCAAAACTCAGCAAATTTTGGAGTGATTTAGTGAGTCACTCGAAACTTGTTGAGTTTGAACAAATTACAGGAGTATAAAAGGGGCAGGAATCTAATGCCCTTTTTTCTTAATTTTTTGTCAAAGAGTCAACAAATTCAGCTCAAGTTTTGGCCCTTTGCATGATTTGTAGAGAGATCAGTCTTCAGAAAAATATATATATATATATATTTTATGCGTTTTAGAGATTGAAGACTTCAAACTAGATTTCAAACAAATCTAAAAAGCAGCAATTTCTGTGCAACAGAAAGTCAATCGTCAATAAAAGACTAATTTTTGTTTCTTCATCGAATCATAGGCTTTTTTTCTCAAACAAAAACTCCAATTTGAAATATTTTTATTCTGGATTTATTATTCACATGAAATTTTTAAGACTTGAACCTCTTTCAACAAAGATTGGAGGCATCGATTCACATTTGGACAAAGATTCAAGGATTGGCCTCAAAATTCTGCATAACTTTCATTTTCCAATTTAAAATTTAAATTGAAAACAAAACATATGTATCATTAGTTTTTATCATTTTCCATTTTGTCTATATTTTTATGATTGTTTACGACTCTTTCTATTTTTTTCTTAATTTTCATTATTTTTCCCAACTCGATGGTGTATGGTGGTCTAGGGGTATTTCTCTCTCTAACAAATGTTTATCTCTCCTCTCCCTTTGGTCTTGAACTTGTGAGCAAAGCAAAGAGAATAAATTAAAATTCACTCCAGTTACCCACATATTGCAAATGAACAAGAAAATTACAAGAGTTTAAAGACAAAATTTTCAAGACCCTAATGCAAGTGACATGGGTTTCATTGAATGCTCAAAAGTACCTAGAACTGTCAAAAAATATACAATTACTGGATTAAAATAATTATCCCATATTTGGACCAAATGACCAAAATACCCCTAAGCATTTTTCAGCAAATGACAAAACCATCCCTCCATGAGGGGCCCCTTGCCATGGCTAGTCTTCGGGAGCTTTGTCGGACACCTATAATTCAGGCGATCAAACGTCGGAAAAGATGCTTGTACTTTTGTAAAAGCTTTGATACCCTTTGATCGTCTTGAAACGGATTTTTCAGGAAGAACCCAAAATCCGGCCAAGTCCATAAACTTTGCAATTCTTTAATCATCAATGTAGCTTGATTTGTGATGTTCCAAGTTTTCATTTTTGTCACAAATTGAGGAGGACACTGTCAGAATCATTTTACAATAAATTTCATGCGTTTTGGTTTGGAATTGAGCATCTTCCAAATTTGGGAGGTCGCCAGAAAATAGGACTCCGGCAACCGGAAAAGTATGCATTTCTTCAACCTTGAAATTCGTATTATCTGGCTTCCAATCACGCCCAAAACGTGTACCAAACTATAGCTCTTCGAACCACAGTCGTAACAAACTCGTATTTGTGATGATCCGGCCTCGGGATCTTGAGCTATGGCCTTTCAAATAATTGGATATTCTCTCTAGAAATTCTCTCACTTCGGGTCACGTCAAGATGCGTGCTTTATATCAAAATGATCGGGTCGCCAAGATCTAGCTTGTGTCCAAATTTGAGCTTAATTTGACTCAAAACGAGCAAGATATGATCATCTCGAAAAGAAAAGACACAATTTCCATAAATGAAAACTGGTTCGCTGAAGTTGCACCGCAAGAGTGTAAAACCCACCCTTTTATGGTAAGTCAGGCTCGGAATGGTTTCGAAGGGTCCGATTGAGCCGGAATTTGGTACTTGGGGGTTGTTCGACGTTCCGGATCTAATGGCGGTGGTCTGGTACTGTTTTGATACCCCGAAAATAGGGTTGTAGTTGTAGGGTCCACTTTTAGCACGATAAGAACTGGATTTGAAAACCAATTTTCATCCTGATCATATCAAAACTTATCAGAATGTGACAAAATTTTGCAAGTGTCCTTCCGGTATCCCAAACTACCCTTTCATGCATTTTGAAGCCGTTCCAATACTTCATTTTAGATGTTGCCCAGTTTTAGGCTTATTTTTACAGTATTCCCATGGTCTGGCAGTGTCTTGGGTACCGACACGACCAGGTTACTACTGGCTCTCTCCTTATTCGCCTCGAGGATACAAGCACGTCAAAATGACATATAACAAGGTCAAGGTCCAAGTTTCATCCCTAAGCCGTTCTACAAACATTGTTTAGTGCACAAATGTCATAAGCACACCAAGCCATAAAATTTAAAATCAAATGGTTGGGATGTGTCATTTCCCTATGAAAAGTCCGAGGAATATTTTTCTAAACTTTGAGTTTAGTTAATGGTTACACCTCCAGCCTAAAATTTCAGAACTGATGGTTAGAGGTGATTGTGACCTTTTTGTACCTAAGATGATTGTAAACTTCCACGTGTGTGTGTGTATAGGAAAATTGTTATATGATTCGTATTTCGAGCAGCCTAGAACACATTAAAAAGAAAACTTTGTAGACGAATGTCGAAGGAGAAAGAGACAAGCAGCCCAAATTTGCAGAGACAAAACAGCCCAAATTTGTGTGTTACTAAAATTAGCATTTGAGCAAAGAAGGGGTTCAATAAACCCCAAATTCTGTAGGTCTCATCTAGGAGCTCAAAATAAGAAAATAAAATAAAAATCGAACATTCATTCAAAAGAAATGAGTACGCCAATCTCGGTTGTGCATTTCATATCTTTTCCTTTGATCTTGGTTGCCTGGCATATACTCTGATATATGCTGGTTGGCTTATAGAATAGCACTGAGGTTATGAAGAAGTTATGATTTCATGTATTTTAAAGCAGATCTTTGAATGAACATTACCTTTCCCTTTCCCTCAAATGTAACATTCAAGTTTTCTCCACTTTTTCTTTACTAGCGAAGCCAGATGAGCCAAGCTGTTGGGAATCAAAAAAATTTGCCAGTCATATGTCTTGATAGCATACTGCACCCATCATCAAAGGATTGGCATGGCATAATTAGCAACCAACCCTCTTAGCATTTCTCTACCTTTTAAGAAGCAAAAATAAAAGTAATCTCTTTTTTTATCCTATCATCAAATCAGAAGAAAATAATACACATGCTTCTCGTACATTACACTGAAGATATTTACACTTCTCCCCCCTTAAGAGTAACCAAACTGCTCCTAACTGCAATACATAACAGCAGTTTACTTAAGTTTGTCATGATAATTGACATTTGTGCATTTATATTTGCACTTTTGTCATGTTCAATTTTCTTGACTAGTAAGGCTTAGTTTCTAATAAGATTCAAGTGATTCCCGATCATCTCCTATTAAAAATTAGAAGTTAGTATGGTAATACAATCACAAAAGTACCCAGAGTAAGCACAATTAAACCTAACCATGAATAAGGTAGGATCATTTAGCTTTGTTATTGATGGCTTACCTCCATACACATTTAGAAAAGTTTCTTGATGCAATGGGCTCATCATGTGACCTGTATAACAAGGATCATATATCATGATCCCTGATCTTGCTCGGTGAAAATTTTCATAGGCAATTATATGGGAATGTTCGTTTGGATGAGTTTAACGCGATATGACTTAAGACATTTTCAAAATACAAGAAGCAATCATTTTATTTAGAGCTTCTTGTGGAACTTCCCCTAAAGTTTGAAGGGATCAAGTCTCTAATGCATCAGTTTCACCTCCAGAGATTAAGAGAGAATTTGCGACATTTGTAAGGAGGAACTCATGCACGTTACTTCACGACATCTAGTACAACTACAAAGAGGATTTTCTTAAATACGACGCAGCAATCTGGACATATTTGTTTCTTCATAACAGTGATCACGTTGTAAGACATGCCAAATTGTTGATCATCTTCTTTTACATCATTGCAACAAATGAGGACATATTATGAGTGTTGCAAATAGAAATATAACAAGCTCTGCAGTAGTTATTCTCTTCGCGACAGACTGTTTCAGTGGCCACTGGCCAAAAAAAACACCCCGGTTGCAATAATAATAACCTATTACAGCCATTCTCAGCCAAACCTTTTCATTCCAACATCCTTAGCAATGTCTGGAAAAGTGCCAATCCGGATGGGGAATCACCTATCCAGATCGAAAATAATTTGGAACCAGACCAAGTTTTGAACGTACCAGGAAATGGACCGTTTGGAACTGGAAGTTTACAACACCTGGTTCACTAACAGAATCGAACAATCCATTGATTGATACAATTTTTTGGGATCTTCTCTTGTATCATCATTG